CGGCCACCTCTCCACAACGGGCACCTCTCTACAACGGCCACCTCTCCACAACGGCCACCTCTCTACTATGGCCACCTCTCTACTATGGCCACCTCTCTACTATGGCCACCTCTCTACAACGGCCACCTCTCCACAACGGCCACCTCTCCACAACGGCCACCTCTCTACTATGGCCACCTCTCTACTATGGCCACCTCTCTACTATGGCCACCTCTCTACAACGGCCACCTCTCCACAACGGGCACCTCTCTACAACGGCCACCTCTCTACTGTGGCCACCTCTCTACAATGGCCACCTCTCCACAATGGCCACCTCTCCACAACGGGCACCTCTCTACTATGGCCACCTCTCTACAACGGCCACCTCTCCACAACGGCCACCTCTCTACTATGGCCACCTCTCCACAACGGGCACCTCTCTACAACGGCCACCTCTCTACTATGGCCACCTCTCCACAACGGCCACCTCTCTACAACGGCCACCTCTCCACAACGGCCACCTCTCTACTATGGCCACCTCTCTACAATGGGCACCTCTCTACAACGGCCACCTCTCTACAACGGCCACTTTTTTTTGTTCCGACGGACAGTCCATACAATGACTCTTGTTTAACCCTCTCTGCAACGGCAACGTCCACTACAGCACGTCCCCATCTGCCAAAATAACCACTCGACAACAGCTAGCTTTTTCAACGACTGACAAATGAAGTCAGGAATGGTCTAGAAATTTGATCAGTATGGCGGGATGATGATCGTGGCAATCGCTTTGATTGTGTTCCATTCAATACTACTGTAGTAAGCGTAAATTGTCTACAATACTTATGGCGAATGTTGCGAGCCTTGCTCGTTTGGTCATGTTAACGATTTCATTCAAAACATTATTTAAGTGGTTTTGCGTATTTCAGCTCTATCTATCATTCTTATGCTTGGATTACCATTATGGAATACACTGGGTATGAACTAATGGCGCAATAAAAATGTTGCGGGGGTCGGCTCTACAACAGTTTGACAGTTTTACGTTTTCAAAGCGTTCAAATTGGGTCTGTTAAAACCTAAAAATAGTTAAAATGTGTAATGTAACACTGAGTGCAGTACCTTTCCGTATTTGGTAAGCAGAATTTCTGATATTCTACTAAAATCAGCAACATTTCTTCCAACTTTTTGACAGTATCCTGCCATAAATGTTATGTGAATGAATGGATGTTAGACGAAAATAAAGTAAGACAGTCACTTAATAAGGGTTATATGTGTCGTAAAAACTTGTTAACCTAATAGGTAAGAAAACATTCTTTACAAAGGGACCATCGTAGTTGTTTAATACTGACATACACGACAATGAGGATGACCAACAGTTTATCAGCAAGGAATCTAAGTTCTTTAAGTTTGTAAACTCTGTTCATGTCATTTGAAACAGCGCTGAAACCCTTCTTCTGGGCCTCCACCTGTGTACATGGATTTGAGTATGCATCATGATTGGCCAGTTAAAAAAGCCATTGTTGATTTGCTTATCAAGGTGAAAGGAAAATTGATACACACTTCTGGTAATTCCCGAGTCCGTTGGGGGCCTAAGACAAGGATATCAGCACTGCTGCTATACAGAGGTTAAACCATGTCTGACACACAGGCTAGTACACCTTAGTAAGCTTAGTCTTACACATGAATTCAAGTACCTCTTCTGGTTCAAGGATACTGCTTCTCTATGTTCTCGTGAAAGACATGAAATGCGACAAATGTATATGAAATACATCAACTGCGAGGATCATGCTTCACTTGATTTCATTTCCGCAGTTCTCATATATGATTTATTTCATTTATTTACATTTGTCACATTTCATCTCTTTCATGGGAACATATGAACACATAATTGACCTGCTCCCAACATCAGTGGCTTCATAGCTTAGTTGATTAGAGAATTGCACCCATATCGCGAGGTCATGGGTTAATTCAAATCCCCTTGAAGTCCTGAATTTTTTTCGGGCTTCTCTTACACAATTGCATAAGTTGAATTAACAACTGCGAGGATCATTTTTCACTTAAAAGTCCCATTGTTTTCTAACCCTAAAGACAATAGTCCACCGTCAGTCCGCAATCTGCATTTTACTCTGCCCTTTTTACAATGAATGCATGTTACCTGATAAACCTGTCATTTGCAATCAGGCCAATATCGATCCATTCAATATATGCTCCAATAATGTCCAGGCAAAGGCATGTTATTGATGACACACTATTTTCATGTTTTCTGCATACAAAACATAATACAAAATAGCAGTCAATAAAACTGAGATCAACCTGATTGTTTTGCTAAAATACCGGTACATGATTTCCACCTACCAAAATCTGAAACCAAGAGTCAACAAGCTCTTTGATGCACGTATCCCAGATGTGATCTTTAATGTTTGTGTTTCTTTCTACTTCCTGTTCATGGAAGAAAAATTATATTTGGCTTCTAAACTGATTCATCTGTAAATGGTTTTACAAACTTGTACAAGTGCAACCAACTGAAACTCATCAAAAGTTGACAGTCTTAATAATCAATCTGAGTCTTGAAAAAGGAACCCTTGTAGAATCAGACACTATGTAGAATCTATGCAAATGCTATGTCACAAAGCTATGCAAAACCTATGTTAATCACTCATACATTGCTTTAACCAGATCCTATGTTGTTTCTATGCCAGGACTATGTTTTTTGTATCGAAAATGCTATGTTTTCGCTAGTCAAACGGAACCTATTTAAAAGCTATGCAGTTTTTAAAGGTAGGAATAAAGGAAGAAATGACATAGTTTCCACATAGCCTATACATACAGTTTACTTAGCTTGTGGAAAGAGATTTTAGACTTCATAGTCAACCTCATAGAAAAATCATAGAAAATAAATAGCCTTCACATAGGACTGAAATAGAGTTTACATAGTAAAATGGAACAGGGAACAGTTGATTAAATAGCTTTTGAATAGGGTTTGCTTAGAATTTAGATAGCCTAGAAATAGAAAAAACATATGAAAAACATAGCCTTTTTAAAGGTGACATATACTTTGCATAGCATTAAAATAGGGAAAACACAGAACAAATAGTCTTTGCATAGGTTTGAAATAGGATTTTAATAGTATTTGAATAGGTAAAACATATCACATACACAAGCTTTAACTAGAGTTCAAACAGAAATTACATAGAATTGACATAGTCTCTTATGTATGTTGGTTTCGATCTGCTTAAGCAAATGTAGTGTTTAAAATACGTTCGTAAAAATCACCAAAATAGTAAAAATAGTATAAAAATATGAATTAGAATACCTTTTACATTGGTAAGAAATAGGTTTTGAAACGAAAAATTGAAAAACTATGGCAATATAATACCTGACGAACACTAATAGTAACACAAATGCAGTATTTTCATGGAGGTTTCAGAATCGAAACCCCAAGTTTAAGTTTGCTTATCGTGTAGACTTTTTGCTGATGTCGTGCTCTTCAGTGCCATACAGTTTCCGTTTGACTGCAACGAATAAGTGTCTGCAAACAGAAAAGTGGAGATTTTAAGGCAAATGAACATAAAAACAACCTGACGTTTTAGAATTGAAACGAAGGAGTATCAAAGCGTGATCGACCGATCCTTGTTCAGATACGCGAAAAGGGGAGACAACACAGGCAAATCGAAACTTAATTGAGAAAAACATCACTTACCAACGTTAGGAATACTTTTTGTTGAACCTGGCAGGAAAAAGACTGTAAATTGAAGTAAAAAGAAGCGTCTTCTTGTAAAAACGCACGCTTACAGCTCGTCTTCTTTGACTTGAAAGCGCCCGCGTGGAAACAGACAATTTTCACACTTTTTCATTGGTTGAAAAGGCCCACGTGACGATAAAACGCAAAATACGCATGTGTTGAACTCACGGGCTTCCCTGGGAACTAGTGGAAACAAAATGGCTGACAAACATCCACCGAGGCAGGTAGCGTTTCGCAGTTTTGACCATGCAGTTATATTCAGGAGACGTCCACAATCAAGACGAAGGATCGAACCCAATGTAAAAGAAGAAAATGATGCATGGAAGTATCATTTCAAGTGAAGAACTCTAGGGAAAAGCTAGAAAGGAAAGTTAAGACAGGGATGATGGATGTAGCGATTCAATGCTTAACAAAAGTCTTCTCACTAAGAAACTATCTTCAAGCACAAAAAAAAATTGTAGTACATGATTTTTCAGTGTTTTAGTTTAAAACACTGCTTTTTACTTTGGAAGTATGCTTAGCCTTCTGTACGCGCCACTATCAACATGCCTAGTCACTTAAAAGCTATGTTGGAATATCACATAGGAAACGCATAGACTACATATACTTTTCATATGAGTGACATAGGAAAAAATATGTTTATGTAAAAGCTATGTAGCCTTTATCTCATGATAAAGCTAAATGAAAATGTCACATAGTGAATACATAGGCTGCAAATATGTTTCATCACATAGCATAGAATATACATAGCACTATGTAAAAGCTAAGAAACTTGTTGGAAATAAAAGTGAAGATCGAAATGCTATGTAAAAGCTATTTTACTTTTATGCATAGTGAATACATAGGATGCTAATCGGAAGGAAAAGCAGAACTTTCTATTGCATAGTAAATACATAGCTATGTCAAGACTATGAAAAGATTTTGAATAGTATTTGCATAGGTATTCAAAAGCTATGTGCTTTTCGAATAGCCTAAACATAGTTTCAACATAGATTTTGCATACTTTGGACTATGTTGTTTGGTGTGTTACATAGTTAATACATAGGCAGTAGTGAACATAACATAGCTGAAACATAGTCCAACATAGTAAACAAATAGCATGAGCATAGGTTTTGCATATGTCTGGTTCTACAAGGGAAATGATGACTCAAGTTTCAAGATGTCAACAATCAAGATTGTAGAAGCAATGTCTTAACTCAAAAGAATTTTGATTTTCAGAAAAAGCATTTAGACCTCTTTAGCTTGTATGTTTTGTTTTCCCAATAGAGGTCCCAGGGAAACTTGATCCTTTGTCTTTTCATAAATTATGAGTAGATATGCTCATGAATAAGACAAAATTTGAAAGAAACAGTTCTCTAGGGTATTACCATATGGCCTGTATTGGAAAAACAAAACATACAAGCTAAAGAGGTCTATTTCACACATGTACAATGTAGCCCTTTGCACAGCATGTTTAGATATTAGCACCAACAACTTAATGTGTGTGGCATGGTGGACTTTGTCACAACTTTAACAAGCTTGTATATCAGGCAAATATAAAAATTTTGGCACAGTCAGACCCTGCTTTATAGACACCTACTAAATAATTATGGGTTCAGCTTCAATCGCTCTATGCACTGCAAATGAGACGTTAGGACATAGTACAATACAGTGGAACCCGGTTAATATATATGGACACCAAGGGGACATGCCATAGTGTCCGTATTATCCAGGTGTCCGTAATATATAGATTTAGCCAGGGCTAAAAGCAAAGCTCTCTTTAATATTTATGGATTCCTCGAAGAAAATATAAAATCGATGAATACTAAAACAAGTTGAAAGCAACGAAAACGCTAAAAACAACAACAATAGATCTAATTAGCAAAAAAACAACTTTCAACGTGCAGCACACTTTTTTTCTAATTAGCAAAAAAACAACTCTGCACGTGCAGCAGTTTTTTTTTTTGTACATTTCCTTACCGTTGTTTTACACGACTAACGTGAAACTTCTTTTAGCTTCCTTTACGCATTTTATGGAGGAAATGTTTGTGTTCCTGTTCATTCTATTTTTTCACTGCCGCTGCTTTTTCACATTAGTAGCCGCTAGCATTCTTCATTTTCTAACCGCCGCTATATAATTTTCATGTTTTTCTTCCAGCGGCATTAGTCTCCGTTGTTATTTATTTCATGGTCCTGACAAGTGTGACACTTGACATCGGCTTACATGAAGTGTGTGTACGGGTGGGCGGGCGGGCGGGTGGGCGGGCGGGCGGGTGGGTGGGCGGGCGTACGCTACGTCATAACCAAATTTTATCGGATGGATAGTTTACCAAATTTTATTACCCATGGTGCTCCGCTGGCGCGCTTCGCGCGCGAGAGCTCCGCTATTAAGACTGGGCTCTCAGAGAAAATGTCAGGAACACATGTTTTATCGATATAAAGACCAAAGCAGACAGTTTTACGAACCAAGGATTAATATTGGTAGAAGTATGTGGAAAGGCAGTCAATCAGGGTGGAGGTCTTGGTATGGAAATACCATGTGTTTACATTTTTGATGGTCCTCGGAAACACGTGGATTTACTTGAACAATTACTAGACGTTAGCAACAACCCATCAATACGAGCGGAAGATGATCCTGGTACAGCTCGCAGCAAGCAAACAACGTCAAAGAGGAAGAAGGTTAAAAGCAATGACTGCAACAAAAAGCCAAGGAAGTGAAACGTGTGTAACATGAGGCACAAAAACTTTATTAAAGGACTATACGTAGTACAAGAGTCAAACACCGGAAGAAAGAAATACTGTTCAAAATCAAGTTGTCACGCCACTTTGTTACTGTTATCTTTTTAGTACTGTAAGAAAAATTAATTCACCCGTAAAAATCTGTCATTATTTGAACAGAGTACAATGTCTACAATTATCACATAATAGTGACAATGAAAATAGACAGTGTGCAGATAACCAGTGTCCGTAAAGCAGGGTTGACAATATAAGAGAGTTTGTGACTCAGGACACAGAAAAGGGTCCGTTGTCCGTATTAAACGGTGTCCGTATAAAGTGGGTTAATTTTAGAGAAAATATATGAGCTTTTTGTCGGGACAAACGAAACTGTCCGTATAAAGCGGGTGTCCGTAGAGCAGGGTTCCACTTTATATAGTTCTAATTGAATAGGTAATAAATTTCTGTTTGATGGTAACCCATGGATATTGTAACATAGATATAAAAACAATTCACAAAATTAACCTGCTGACTCCTTATCACATCTCTATCAACCACTTCCTCATCAATTGCCTTCAAAATCCTAAGGTACATATCCACAGCTAATGCTCCATAATTGCAAGCACTGGAGGAGGTCTGAGAAAAACAGCGGCCACTACAGGGAGAAGAGAAATGTAACATGAAGTTAAACAAAATTAAGGCAGCTGATAACAAGGAGCATCGTCGCGTGCTGTTGGTCAGCGGTCAGTGTGGTGGCTCAAGTGCAGTCAGCCTTAATTGCTAACATCAGCTCCATGTGCTTAGTACAATGCTTTCAAAGCAGCTACACGCTTTGTTCAGCCCTTGGATTGTGCCTTTCACCCAACCCTTCCCTCCCTTTAATTTTTCCCTGATAAATCATTGTGACAGGTGCCTGGTTCCATTGGTGTGGGGGCTCATGGCTGCAACGTGTGAGTTTACCAGCAATGAGTGTGTAACACTGTCTAACTGTCAAGTTATAGCCTGCGTAGCATAAGTGTTTCCAGTCGAGTTATAGTGCGAAAGTTGGAGCGGGAGCAAGAAAAATGGAAGGGGGAAGGGGAGGGGAGAAAAGGAAATGCTTGCCTGCCCCTACGATTCTGGAAAACCCCCCTTGATATTTCACGGTTTGGTTCATTTGTAAATTGACAGCACGTCAAGATAGATAACGAATAGATTACCAGATCTGAAAAATTTACTTTGTTCCCTAAAACACGCTCCATGCGATTGCATTTTATAAAAAGAAGCTTTACGTTAAAAGAAGGTTGAAACTCTAAGCGATTGCTGCGGAATTTCTTGTTCTTTACAGTTACGTAAGTGATATTTTGAATGTTATGTGGCTTTATCTCATCTGAAACCTTGTCACAACGCCGCAAAGAAATGATTTGTCCGGAACAATTCACTCCGCTGGCTATAAGTTTTGCAGAGCAGCTCCTTTCTATAGGCTAGCCAGTGTCGAAAAGTTCTCTTTAATACATGCCGCTCAATTTCCGATCACTTCTCCATGGCGGCTCTAGCTAGTGTCTATTACCGATGTTCTGATTTATTTGATGTTACCTCCAGTCAGATACGCACGCCGCCATTCCCAATAAATTGGCCTTCACTAGTCTCCACTGCTCTCCAATTATACTTTTGATTGAAGAGACTCAGATCTGATAAACCTTCACACAAACATGATTCAAATAAATATCAGACCAAAGCATTTGTAATCTGCGACCACAAATAACATCAGACCAGATCTGCGACGCACGTCAACAAAACATACCTGCTTTGATTGATGTTTCGGGTGCTAAGTAATCAACACTACCAGCAACCAACCAATCAAAAGCTGAGTTCGTGGGCGAACACAGTTTTTCAAAATCATGGGGTTTGCGGGCAAGCGTTTCCTTCTCTCCCCTGCCCCTCCCCCTCCCCTGTCATTCCTTTTTTTTGTTGCTCTCGTCCCAATGTTCTTGACGAACTCGCGCAGAAACGCTTGCTACGCAGGCTAGTCAAGTTACAATTTCAGGTATCAGTATTCACACTCATAACATGACTCAGTTCTTTCTTTTCGTGACAAACAGTGCAACAGTGTTTCCCTCCCTCCCACTAAAGAAGTGTGTGTTAGTTTGACAGCAGTGTATTGGGTTCTGGAATGTTTTTCTATTTTTTCCTTTGTTTTTTGAAAACTTTTTGTGATGGTTGTGCTGTTGCATTGTTGCATAGCAGACAAATGGCATTCAGTGCGTGAGAAGTTATGATTTTTAACAATAACACATGAAATAACAATACATGTAAATAAGCTAACCTTCTCAGGATAATCACAGACAAAGATCAAGCTAAAGACTTGGGCTGCCTTGTTCTTCAAGAAATTCTTGTTATATGACTCAGTACAACACTGCTGAAAAGTTACAACAAGGGTCAAAGAAAAATCACAGTGAAATTACGTTAAAATAAGAAATAAATTACACAAAATTAATATTTATTTAATACAGTTAAACCACCTATAAATGACCACCCAAAAGGCAAAGACCTATTGGTCACTTCCAGGAGGAGGTTGTTCACAAGAATTGAACACAGGGGGTCTCTTGCAAGAAGAGGTGCAGACACATGTATTATATATAATTACAAGATAATCTGTTGCATGCAAAATCTGATTTAGCCTGAGAAAACAGCTGACATTTGCTGGCGCTACCACTGGTTTCCCCACCCAATGATGTCTGAGAAACAAGCAGAGAAACTCCATACTGATGACACCTCACTACCCAGATGTGGGTAGTGCTTCTGACCGGTTGAATCAAATTTAATCTGTTGCATGGAATTTCTGAGTTGCAATAATTTATATGTAATCCCATGTTGTTCTTCTAATACTCTAAGTAGCATAGTATATACAGCAAACAAGAGATCAAACCAAGTGTCAAAAGGTTACTTACAAGAGGTTAAAAACAACAAATAATAATTAAACCAAGAGCCGTGAAAAGTGGTCATGGTAACTTACAGAAGGTGGTCTTTATAAAAAGGAGAGGTTCCAACCATGAGGCTTTGAATAGGAAAACTTTGGTGATTTGGACAGGTGGTTGATTATGGTAGGTGGTCTCTTATGAGATCGGGTGGTTACAAATTAAGGACCTTTGACTGTATAAGATGAAAATGCTGTCAACCAAGGCTGTGCTCTAACAGAGCCTGGTGGCCCCTGAAGCTTCATTTTTGCTCATGGGCGACTAGAAAATCTTACTTTTTTCATACAAATCATATGCTGGGCACTCTAGATTTTACAGTTTCAGAGCACCCAGGGCTCCCTTTAATTTTTGTTAGAGCACAGTCTTGACAACGTTGGATCCATTCCGTGGGATTGCAGGGGTCTTTGGGGGTTGAATACTAATCCAGACCTATTCTTACCTTTCTCAGCTACACACATAAGGTGGTAAAGTATTAACATCGCTCGAGTGTTTTAGGTGTTGTAAAGACAGGTGAGAAAGGGACAATGCCAACAAACTTCATCCTCAAATTCCGTGGAATTAAATTGAATTGCCTTTGACCAACTTTGTTTTGCATCAAAAAGAATGACAAAGTTGGACTTCAACAGGCAGACAGGTAGGTATAAGAATTCAAAGAACAAAGGTGCTAGGAAGACTCTCAAGGCTTTGCAAACCAATGCACTTATGTCCACTTTTAGGTATCTTTGCACAACTATAAAAAAACAAAGTTTGACAATTATTTTGCTCTACCTTTTGACATAAAACAAGTTGTTTCAATTTTGATGAAAGCAAAGAGAGAGTCTAGACCATAATAATATGTCAAAGGTATTAGCAAGACATCCTCTTTCACCTTAAGTCTAGGGTGAGTAGCAAAAAAATAAAAAGAAATGTTCCTTGGGATTCTACTGCAGAGTAATTAATACCTAGTGTACCTGATTTCGTAGCCAGGTCAAAAGAATCTCTCTGAGTGCTTGTTGATCTACAAGATTTGATGACACATGTCTGTGTACAGAAGAAAAAATAAAAAAATATAGTCATTTTTTTGCAGGATCACACACTTAAGCAAGATCATCTGATATGTCTTCTACAGTGCAGAAGACTGAAGCATGTGTACAGTATACTCAATACAGCTAGCGATCAAATGTTTATAAGTTATTTCTGGTAAGAATACAGTTAAACTAGCCTGAAATTCATCCAATTGCTTCAAGTCGTTTTCTCCTCTCAACAACGACGTTACTGAGGGAGTATATATAATAACGACTCGAAGTAATCAGATGAAATTAAGGCTACAGTAATAAACCCAATTGTCTCTAGTTGAATATTTTTCATTATAATAGCCTACATAACATCATACCAAGTGAGTAAACATTTAAAAATTAAATTTTCTGATAACATCTTTTAATAAGAGTTATTCAGAATAATTTAGTGGACAAAAATTTAAAATGGCAGATCAACCAACAGAATAAAACCTTTTTGATTTTTCCATGGAAGGAAGATTACTTTTAAAATGGATGCTGCACACCTAAACACAACTCTGTGTTTCAAGAAAGTTGATGTGATACTGCATGGAGCTATAAGTACATGTACTAGAATAGATGCTCACATGAGTGGCACCCTTGAGATGAGAGAAATGTGTCCAGATAATTATGTGAAAAAAAAAAAAACTCTAAAACTGATATAAGCTGAAAGTAGAGCTGTCTACTTAACCCTTTAAGTCCCAATATCCACATACAAATTCTCCATACTGATCTCTGTATATTTCCTTAAAGAAAGAGTTGAGAGAATTTGATAAAAGACCAAAGCATTTTCTCTTAGCTGATCATTTTATTCATTCTCATAACCTAATCTCTTGACAATCTATGGATATTGTTAGGAGAAAATTAATGTTGGTCACTATTGGGACTTGAAGGGTTAAGAGGAGTGTACTGTCCAGAGCCTCAACTGTATCAACTGGGTGTTTATATACATAGGTAAAAACACACAGTTTTTCAAATAATAAACTTTTTCAATACCTGCAACGCACTTTATGACATGTCTGGTTACATTAGCCTGTGTAGCTGGCAAGATAAGCAGATGTTTGCTGTAATGTTTTTAGGCATCAGAGCGGCAAGAAGATTGGGAGCATTCAGCAAGTTAAATTGAAATCCTGCTTGCCTTAATCTTTCTTTTCCAGCCAGCCATAGCTTGTTTGCAGGATTTTTACCAAAAAAATTGTTCATTATAGTGGGGTCTTTGCTATAGCGAAGCAAAGCGAGCCGAGCGGTAGTCTGGGAAGGAGAGAGGGTAGAGCCTGGAGAAATGCCTTGATGCCGCCAATCCACCCTCGTCCATTATTTTAAAATCTGTTCCCGAATTTTAGGTACATGATATTGAAAGAGCATGATACTGTCCACAGCACTGCGAATCTGTCAACATGAAGACATTTGACACCAAAATGGTATCATAGAATGGCGGCATCAGAGGCATGTCTCTAGGCTCTGCTGCATTTCCCCCCTGCCCCCTCCCCCCTCCAGGCCATCGCTTTTTCCTTTTTGACCCTGTTCTTTGCCCTTTTCCCCCACTGCGGAGCTGGTTCCAGGCTATCCAATTTTTGTCAATCAGAAATAGAGAAATATTTTGAATGAAAGATAATGTCCTATATAAGCTAGTTGCATATGAATTATGAATGATAACGTAAAAAGAATAATTATATCAAATAATGAAGCCATTAAATCAAGTTCTGAATTAATGCACATAGGTTTCAATAAATTAATGTCCAAAATATCACACAAAAACAATTAACTTTAATATCAAATTTAAAATACCTGTAAAGATTACGAATTAGGGCATCACAACATAGCTTCCAGCCGTCTGGGGAATTCTTTAGCTGTTCAAAATATTGCAGGGGCTATACCATGGCCATAAAAGAATTATAATAAGAATCATTTAATCTATGTACAATTGCAGTGCTAAATGTTCGAACACGAACCGAATGGTTCAAAACAAATGTGGTTAGCAAGAACCTCACCCCTGCCTGTGATGTCGCATTTGTGGCCGCCTAAAGCCCTTGTAGCAAATTATCAGCCATGAAAACGCTTCCAAAAAATGGTGCTCATGGACTTCACATTGCACGTGGAGCTAAAAGAGACGCGATTTTCTCCTTGCACCGTAGTGAAAAAAGGCAGTGTTTACGAGGTCAAGAACAATAATGATTTAATTCAATTCCCACAGGGTTTCAAATGGGCAAAAAAGCAACTGAGAATTTACATTTTCACTACTTTTCGTATCAAAAAGAAGAACCTCCGTACAACTTCCAACTTTCCAAGTGCAGGACCACGTTGCATCATTTTGACCTTCATCTGGTAGGAGCCAAGGTATGAGTATCGAAGATGCTCCTTTCTCTCGTACCCAGGCTACTCATTGGAGAAGACAGAGATAATTATAAAACAAAGGGCCCTATTCTCTGTTTTATAGTTCCTTTTTTGAAGTATCACCTTTACATATTTTGTTATATTCTAGTGTCTTCTTAAAATTTTATCTTATCATGACTAGGCTTTAATAGATTGTGCTCGCAAACTGTAGTACTTATATGCTAAAACAAAACTGAATGCAAGGCTGGCACTGCGGCAAAGGGCTGATTTATTATGGGCCAGTTATATTTACCTGTTGATTGGACCTCTGCATTTAAACAGTTTTTTCCTTTTTACTTATATGCTGCTAGCAGATGGCTCCTGTGCTCGTATCCCTATACGGTATTTCTAGAACAAAACAAATAATTATGCTAGTTGTTTGTAAGTTATATGCTCGTTTTACAGCAAAATATGCAAAATTATGCTTCTACTTTTTACTGGAAATTTGACAGGATCACCTCAAACATTATGCAACAAACAGGCGGGTGAATGGCAAACACATAACCTCTATACCTGCCAACTTTTTCTGAGATATAAGCATGAGATTTTTATCCTGGGAGTGCTGGGATTTTTGAAGACTACAAGATAATTTCCGAAGATTCCTGAAGAAGTCCGAAGACTTCTGAAGATGTCCGAAGTCTGCCGAAGGGGAAGTTATTGAGTCCCAGTCTTAGGACGCGTATAAACTCGAGCTCGCTCCCAGTGCTTTTCTCTTCAAACATCAGAGATCGCGAGGAAGGTATTGTCATTTATTCATTTTACATACGGTTTTCGTTCCTTACATGGGTCTGAGTTAACATATTTTTGGAAATTGTATCAAGCAAGACGGCAACAATTCACATTTTTCAATCAGGCGTGAGAAACTGGCCCGCAAGCGTGAGCCGGCGTGAGATCTAAGTTTTCAACCCGCAGGCATGAGACTCACGCCTAAGGCGTGAGAGTTGGCAGGTATAAACCTTATTTGGTCTGGAATCGTAGTGAATGAACGTATAAATTTATTGTTTCAATTCTAAATGAGTAAGAAAGAAAGAAAAAGATACGAATTCGAAGTGAATTTTAGGAAAGGCTAGGTCTGAAAACAGATATGGATTTTAGAGCCATGCAGGTATGAAAAAGGTGTCAAAATGACATTTTTTGGTCCAAAATAGGGTCAGGATTTGGATAACTGGGCACGTACACCCCCACCAAGAATTCCCAGGAGTACCTTCCGGGCCTTATTTACATCTAGAAACTTAAAGAGAGCATAATTCAGTTATTGTCTGGCAGCTTTGAAACAAAAACTCAATCAAGCAGACGTGATCTTGGGAGGGGGGGGATTAACAGAACTTGTTATGCGGAAGACGGAAGACTGCAAAAAGTAAATACTGTAGGACTTAATTAATTAACAACTTATTAGCCATATATGGTTAGGAAATTTTGTTGTTTGTAATTTTAGTTATTTGGAAATTCAAATAGTTGATATACTATTTATTGTATAAGACTTCAAATAAAAAACATGTATGTATGTATGTATGCGTTGAATGCAGTGGAAAAAGTCCTGGGTCTCTTCCTGTAAGATCCAGGTCCCATGAATGTGGCAATACTGAGCAAACAACAAATTAATTTTGTTACTTAAATTTGGCAGTATTAAACATGTACTGATCTCAGGATAATGAATGATTTTCCAGTAATTGGAGACTTAGTTATGCGCACAGGATTTCGCGATCACCAGGAAGCAAACATTGTAAGTCGCTACAAAGAAATACAGTAAGGCGTGGAATTTGAGTATCTTTTGACATGTAGAATTCCGCATTTTTGCAATGATTTTAAAATCTTATTTTATTTTTATTATTTTATTTGTGCTGCAAAACGAACCAAAAGTGAAATTATCCTAGTAATGGCGAATTATGCCAAAAATGATGGTCCTAGCCAGGAACCCCGTCGTTATATCTGCTCAAGGCGCAATTCAAGTTATGTAAAGATAATACCTGGTAAAAGTGCTTTCCTTTTTTAACGAAAGCGCGACCCAGGGACACAAGGCACAGGGCACGAGTTGCGTGTGAATAAATGAATTACTTATTTAAAGTCTCACCTTGAAAAATGTCTATACCTGTCGCTTAGCACGATTAATTAGTCCAATGGGATCTTTATGAATCTACTGTAAACGATTTCTTCGCTTCTTATCTGACCCAGATCGAATTTGTTGTTCGCCATCTTGAAAATCAATAACCGCAAGCCATATCTT